ATGACCTTAGGCTTATAATAACTTCCCCTTCCCAAGCCTGATACACTGTTTCAAACATCATCTTTTAAATGGTGTACTGTCCATATTTAACATAAAATACATCATTTATTTTTTTTGCCACTGTTTGTTATATGATCTACTTAAACCTTATGAAAATAAGTCAACCTTTCATACTCAGGAAGTGGTTTTATGTTTGGAACAAATTGGATAGAACACTTAGATGCATTTTTCTATGATTTGTAGTCATTTTATTTTAAGAACAAGTATTTTAGCATTAGAATCATGTTGAATGGCTAGACCTTAAATGACAAATGGAAATGTCTAGTGCTAGAGGATATCTGACATTTCAAAAGGATCCAACATTTTTACTGACATACTAAAAGCAATCTATGAAACCAGTATTAAAGGGAAACTCCTTTAACCCTCTCCCTCCCACCTCCCATCCCAGGTAGCTGAAGGGGTGAAAGCCCCTTCAGGTCACTTACCTGAGACCCTGCCGATGTCCAGCGGTGGTTTCGGGTCGGCGTCGCTCCTCCCAGTAATTACGTCAGCCGGTGGGCGAGACTGATCACGCCCGCCGGCTTAGGAAACCTAATGCGCATGTGCAGCAATGCCACGCACGCGCATTAGGGCTCACCATAGGAAATCATTGAAAAAGATTTTCAATGCTTTCCTATGGGAAATTGAGAGACGCTGGATGTCCTCACACAGCGTGAGGACGTCCAGCGTTGCTCTAGCAAAATCTTTGCTATGAATCAGGAAGTGCCCTCTGGTAGACAGCCACTAGAGATGGAGTTAACCCTGCAATGTAATTATTGCAGTTTATAAAAAAACTGCAATAATTACAGTTGCAGGGTTAAGAGTAGTGGGACTTGGCACCCAGACCACTCCAATGGGCAGAAGTGGTCTGGGTGCCTGGAGTGCCGCCTTACTAGTATATTACATTACCCATTAGGCTACCAAGGTGGCTGCCTAGGGCCAAGGCTCAGACACAGGTCCCGTGGGCTGCTGCTTTGGAATTGAGTTTTAACTCTAAATGGGCCCTGCATGAGGTCTTTATTGAGGGAGCATTGTGATCTGTACCTATAGAAGTCACACACTACTTCAAATGATGGAGCTCCCCTTCCAAACCACCAGGGATTCTGCTCACTCTCCACTAGACCCCTAGAGATCCTGCTCACTGTCCTCTAAACCACTAGGAAACGTAAGTTAGTGTGGGGAGTGGGGGGTGGAGGGCAAAACATAACACTCAGACTCCCCTACACACACACACCATTTAAAGAAACAAAGGCCAGGGCTCTCAAAGGGGGTTCATTCATAGGCACCCTGCCTAGGGCTCTGGATAACTTCACGTTGGCTCTAGTATAATACCTAAGCTCACAGGCATTGCTAGGTTCCAGAAAAATATGAAGCTTCAGCACAAAGGAGAACCTGAAGACCACTATACTGATAGAGAGGTAGAGATATGTTATACTACATAAATATATAAATATAGATTTTCTTAATGCTCCCCCTTTTTTTCCCCTCTAGTGATCATTCCTCACCTGATCTGTGAATAAAATCAGCATTTATTGACTGTTACCTAGCCATCAATCATCATTTTTCCCATCCTTTTTTTTGACACCACAGGGGAAATTCAGAATCATGAACCGAAATGGACATATTCAGCCATCGCGCATTCTTGTTGGTTCATCATTCAGGTACATTTCAGCTCGGAGTTCAGGAATTCATCCAAATTAGGCCAAACTGCATTTCCGCTCTAAACAAATCTCCAAGATTAATTTCTAGTAATATCTGCCTTTCAGTTTGAAAGAAAAGAGGTTACAGATTTCTAGGATGGGGAAATTAAAATCTATAATTCTAGTTGCTCAGTTGTTTTGGAGCTGGGATCTGACCTTCTTAATAGCAATTAAATCGACTTATTTTAGGACTTTAAGTTTACTAATACAACAGAGATAGTTATGACACCAGGAGAACAATGTTATGGAGCTCTTCAGAATGAGAGCCTAATAGCAACTGCATCCATATATTTGTCACGGGGTCCAATTTGATAGAGTACTTAGTGATCTCAGTTTCCACTCAAAGCTCATAGCTCTGGTTCAGCATTGCTCGCTGCATGACTTTCTGTGTGTGGAGCTGGCCTATAGGTTGTCAGTCAGCCATCTGTAAACTGATACCAGGTTGACATTCCCACCCATCTGATCGCATACCTCCCAATGTAAAATGTTAACCACAGATGGAAATTCAAAATGAATGTCACCTGTTATGAATATAAGTGTAATTATAACAGAAGATGTAAAAAAACTACAATTCAATATTTGTAAAATGTAAATACATTTTTAAAAAATTGTTGGCTTCTCATAAAGAAGACAATATTTTCTTCAAGTAAACTTGGATGCTTTCAGGAATCTCAATGTATGTTTTTAACAGGACAGTTTAAAGGGATATTTGATTAAGCAATTTCCGTGAATGTGTCATGCCCCTGCAGTTTCACTCTCTATGCCATTTAAGAGGTAAATCATTTTTTGTTTCTGCTTATGCAACCCTAGCCAAACCTACCCTGATTGTGACTGACACAGCTTGCATAAAAAAACCTTTTAGTTTTAAACAGATGTCAATTTGCTTTAGAGGTTTTTATCTATTGCTCTGTAAATTAAACTTTAATCACACACATGAAGCTCCTGAAGTGTCTAGGAGGCTATCAACAGGGCAGGAGAAAATAATTTCTAAAATAAATAGGCTGTGCAGTACAGGAATCTTGAATACCTAGGTATATTTTCTGGAAATGCAGGGAGGTGTGACTAGGGCTGTATAAACAGACTGCAGGGCATTAACTATACACAAAAAACTGCTACATTAAGCTAAAATTATGGTGTTCCTTCAAGCACTATAAATTATTATTGCAGTGGTTATAGTGATAGTTGATTATAGGCAGCATCCCCCTTTTTTGGCACTTTAATCAAAATAGGGGAACTCAAGGCAGACGTGGACTAGTTCTCACTTGACTTACAGACAGTTACTAGTACCGTGGGTTAGGTTTCAGACCAATTCTGTAAAGTAAAATCTGTGAATTTGTGTCAATTTGGGAATTTGCTGGTAGAACTTAAAATCCTTAAAACATGTTTACACATTCGTACCATTATATGTATATGAAGTGTGCCATTGTGCTAGAATAAAAAGATGTAAAAGTAATAAATGAAAAAATGCTGTCACCATACATATTGCTAACTTCTAATTAGTGGAGATTCATCAAATGAAAAGCACTGTATTAGCAAAACACCATAAAGTGATATCATAATCGGATGACAATGATACGTTCAGTGCATCAGATGTAAAGAATTTGACCAAGAACTGTGAGCAGTGGCGTACACACAATCCATGGGGCCCCGGTGCAAAAATGATCCATGGGGCCCCCCAACCCCTCACCCACCGCCACTTCATACAGACACACACAGATACACATACATACATACATACATACATACACAGACACACACGCATACACACAGATACATACAGACACATACATAGACACACACATAGACAGACACACACATATAGACAGACACACATACATACAGACACACATACACACACAGACACATACATACAGACACATACACATACACATCCATACACAGACACACAGACAGACACACACACACACACACACACACACACACAGATACATACACAGACACACACACATACACTAAAACACACATGCAAAATATTTTAGTCACCCTCCTATTAGCTACCTTTTAGTGCAGGAGGGTGACTTCCCTTGGGTCCAGTGGCTCAGGTTGATGGGAGTCAGAGTTCCCACTCCCATGCGGCTCCCGGTTGTTGCTGGGAGGAGTTACCAGGGCAGTCACTTCCTCCCAGCGTCTGACATCATTAGAGGGGGCCCGGTCACGCTGTTAGCCCCTTCACGTGCGGCCCTGGCAATTATAGTGCGCGGCCGGGGCCGCAACACATGGCGGGGGTCACGCGGTCGCAGGGGTACACAGGGTGGCCGGGCGGCCTGGAGTGATGGGCCCGGTCGCAGCTGCGACCCCTGTGATCGCAGTATGTATGCCACTGACTGTGAGACAGAGCCAATAGCCTAGCAGCGCCCCTTGCAAAAACACACACACTCACTGACCCATGCAAACACACTCACACTAATCCATGCAGACACACACACAGTGACCCATGTGTACGCGCATTGACCCATTCAGACACATGCACACTGACCCATGCAGACACACATACATGCTTGTGGGAAATCCGTTCCAGACTTGTACATATATGTAGGAGGAGCAATAAAATTTACCCGTAGGTTGAAGCACCTGGCCTTTTTGTCACTTAGCATTGACCCTGTCCTGCAGGACATAAGTAAACAGGGGGCTGGGCTGTAGGTTTGGTCCATGTAGGAATGGTACCTGTAGGTTAATAGCACCATAACCACTACAACAGCATGCAAAAGGGTTAGTGAGTACAAAGTTTAGACTGGCCCTTTAATTGGTATTGCATGTAGCTGTATTCAGTGCAAATAAACAAATAGTTGTCTTGTTTTCCTTATTTTTTTCAGGCAGGCATTCAAGAATATAAAATTATTCTAAAGTAGGTAAAAGGTGTCATATTTTACATTCTAACAGAAACATGTTTTTGAACTAAGTTTAAGCCTTATTAGTAAAACAATGAACAACAAATATTTGTGCAGATGTAAAAGCTCTGACTGCCTGATTCATCAGTTTTTCCATGTTATTGTTGTGGCTGTTTGTGCATTTCAATGCCCATCGTATTTGTGAGCAGTTAGCACCTGGCTTTGCAAGCATCTATTATGGATGCGAACCAAAACAATGACTTCAGGGCTTAAATGAATTGAGCCACAAACTCACCAGCAGTCAAAGCAAACAGAAATAAAAACATGTAGTGTCATGGTGGGAGGACAGTGGTGGGAGGGTGATAATAACTTCTTGGGATTTTGCAACTGGAGAGTTTCCCTACTAACCAAATGCAGTTCCAAGACATACCACTAGGAGGACACTTTAAGATGCTTTAAAAAGGCAGAAAAGTGGATTTGCCATTTAGATGCTAGACACTCTGCTGATCAGCTTACTTTTCTTCTCTTGTAAAGATAGTTCAAGGTGCAACTTTTCCTAGTGTAGGGCACATTTTTTTTTCATTTTAGATACACAAATAATAGCCAGTTGTTGTTTTTTTAAGAATAATCACAAGGTTGAGTTTTTGGAGATGGCCAACACAGGTTTACAGATATTAGGATTTGCGTTGGCTAGTTTAGGCTGGATTGGGTTTATCGTCTGTACAGCTATTCCTCAATGGAAAATGTCATCTTTCTCTGGAGATGCCATCATCACAGCCCAGGCCACCTATGAAGGACTCTGGATGTCATGTGTTATGCAGAGCACGGGACAGATGCAATGCAAGACCTTTGACTCATTACTGAAATTAGATAGTAAGTAGATTTATTTATTTATTAATAAATATGTTTATGTATTACTGTCGTAATAATAAAGGTAAAGAGATTATATTATTGTATATTCGACTTGTAAGGAAATGATCATTAGGTATGTAAAATTGCAAGGAACATAGGATATTATTACTGTTATAAAGAGATAGCAAAATGCACTGTATATTATTATTATTATTATCATTATTTATAAAGCGCCAACAAGGTCCATAGCGCTGTACAATGGGTGAACTAACAGACAAGTACTATTTATTAAGGTCTGAAAACAAAGCCCAGTTTAGTAATGTTGCCTATCACTGTTCACAAACGCCGTGAGAGTATTGATTCTGTGATATAAATGTATTAAACTTGTTCCAGTTTTTGGAGACCTGTGATTGCATGCTTAATTTAATTTTGCTCGATATTTGATTCCAGACAATATACACATTGACTGCTTAATGTTTAGAGCCAAGCTCCATATAGCATATTAAACATAATCATATGTTTGTGTTTGGTTGCTTTAAACCAGGGGTGGCACTCCAGATGTCTCCAGTTATGCTCTTACGGACATAATGCTGGCATAGCCTCAAGGGAGATGTAGTCTACAACAGATGGAGTGTTGAAGGTTTCCTACCTGTGCTTTAAACAGACATTAGTAGAACAGTGCTAAAGTATATATACAGTATAAAAATAACTACAGTTAACTATTTTATACGCCTTGAATCCCAAGCGGTAAAACAGTACTATTTGTCTCCAGCCCTCCAGCTGTTACTGGACTACAGAGATAATAGCAATATAGTGAGCACAGATGCGGTACTTTAACAACTGTACTGCTCTTTAAAAGCCATTATCTAGCATAGCATCATGAAAGAGCTGCATACTTAAGCATGTCTGATCACATCCTTGTTTTGCATGAGTTTACAGTGCATCAGTTAGATTTCCTGAGATCTGAATTTTCCAGAATAACGTAGGTGTGCACAGCACATTGCATTAGGGTGTGCACCCAGAGAAAATTATCTACATTTTACTTAAAATACTAATTTAAAAACGAATCATTTTCTTTAGTGGTAAAAAGGTTTATTTAGAGACAGTCATGTTTCATTTTCCTTCACAAATATAAAAAAAATAATTTAAAAAAATACCCCAACTCTTGTAAAAGTGTCTGTAAAGAACTAAACAAGGGACGGATGAGATGACTTGACCCTCATTTGGATATAAATCGGTTAACCAGGCACACTCAATGCTCTTTCAAAGACCATTTAAGTATTTTTTTTAGAAATTTTAGAAAAATAAATGAACAAATAACTGCTTGCAGTTTGATAACTTAGTAGCTTATAGATTGGTAACTGAAATGCATAGTTGTCCTACTTACCCTTGTACTTAAATGAGTAAAAATTGGTGAATCCCTTTAACAGCATTAGAGAGTTATACCAAGGTGCTTTATTTTGAAATGCTGTGCAATCTATTTACACTTGTTGAGTACTAGAAGGTCATACGTTAATCCTTGCGATATGTCTGTAGGTGCTTCACTGAACTGGTAAATACATAATAAGAAAATTAAAACAGGATGTATTTTATTTAAGAAAAATAAGACTCAGGCACAGTAACATTAGTCAATAACAAATGCAGATCGCAAGTAGGATATTTTAGCACAGGATAACAAAGTTAAAATCACTTGGGTAGAAAACGTAAGGCAGGTCACCCATAAGTCAGATTTCCTTTATGTAAACAGTTCTAAGTGTAACACATGAGTTCATGTCATGCGAGTACAGCAACATGCACGTAAGAGCAAAACAGTCTGTTTATGACCTGGGATAAATATTTTGGTAAATAACCATTGTGTCTTTGGCCAGTGCTGTGCTTTGGAACCTGACAATCCATCAAGCTCATAAATATCTTTCTATAATATATTTATACTTACTTGAAATAACACATCCATTCAATGAATATATGTATCTTGTTAGAAATAGCCTAAGCTACAGATAACACTGACATATTCCTCAGTCTTGTAAAATTTAGGGACACCTAAAATTTACATTTTTAATCATCTTTTCAGGAAATATTAGGGGTATACATTTTGCTTTCCAAAAAGTTTATTTATGTTAATATAGAAAATCAAATATCACAGATCAAACTATATTAAATGATATAACATGACATTTAAAAAAAAAAAAAAAATTCAAACATCCTGCTAATAGTTAAGTGTTCTTGCATATCAAGACCACTTAATGTTATCTCACATATATATTATTATTATTATTATTATTATTATTATAGCCAAATTTACCACCCTAACTCCTCCCACAGTTTTACACTACATAGACAGTAATATACTGAAACGTGCGGATTGTTCCCGATCGGATTGCTATTACTTTGTGGAACGTTTCGCAGAATGGTTCACGGAATATCGTCGTTCTTGTGACGAAATTGGTCCCATAGGAATGAATGGCAAAATGTTCAAAACTAGAGTGGGAGCTGGCAAAAGCTGAAAAATCAGGACATGATTTCTAAACTGCCACCACTCCCTCATTTTCAAGCCCACCTACACAAATCTTATATCAAAACATTCAGCTATCCCTGCTGCCACTAAGCCATAGTCCTGATAGTTTTCACAAAATGACCATTTGTTTGCAACTCACGCCGTCCATTGACATTCATTGAAACTCTACAAAGCTCAAATTCGAAGGGCAATTTCTAAACTGCGACTGTGCCTTCATTTCTAATATTTCAGAGACATACTATGCATCAACATGTAGGTCTGGGTCTTGTGATTCTAACAATATAAAGCTCTTCGCTGAAGGATCTATAGTTTTTAAAATACGACCGTTTGAAGATGGCAACCGCCAAAATACTCTGACCTGTGCCAGGCTGCAGCAGCAAGTGATCTCATAGACAGGGCCTTTTGTACAACTGCTAATGTTTTTATAAATGTATGTTTTAATGTAACTGTGAAGCACTTTGGGCAACAACGTTGCAATTAAATGTGCTATATAAATAAATAATAACAGTTACTCCACTCACTCCAGTTGTAGACTACTGGTGGAGGCAAGAACACTTCACACAATTTCCCCAGAAAGTGTAGCTTTTCTAGTTACTTAATAATCTAGTAGCATTTTTGGAAATGGGAATTCTCAAAATGCCAGCCAAATGTGGGTGTTTCAGCTCAATTTACTAGATCCTGCAGGCTTTTCAGGGGGCATTATAGAAACTTTACTCCAAAATTGCAAAATTCGAATTTGAATACTTTTGCTGCACGTTCTGGTTGGAACACTCCATAGGAAACCACAGAAACCCTAACATCATTTATTATTCACTAGATGACAGTATGGTTTCACTGTCAAAAAAGCCTCTAAGTATTCTAAATGCTACACATCCTGTCGACTCTCTGAGAGCCAATCTTGTATCTCCAATGGAGTAACCAAAAAATGTGGTTACTCCATTTCAAAATATTCAAGATCCCCAGGACCCCGAAAAGGACCAGAAGAGTTCCAGCACGTGGCCTGTACTCTTTATCAAATTTGGGCAGTGTGGTGGAGAGTAATACAGGACGTAAGAGATGCCCAGTTTCCTTGGCCATATGAAAAAAACTAAAACAAATGTTGTCCATCATAAAATCCTAACGCAATATAATGCAAAAAATGTATACCACAAATTATAACTAAATAACATATTTATATTTTAAATCCTTGGGAATTACAGTGTCTCCCTATGAGTTCTTTCTGGGAAGAAATGAAATCTGTGAGCCAATGTTATCTGGGAGTGCTGGTTGAATCCCATAAACCCATGTTGAGCAGGTGTTTATAGGATAAGTAGTTCAGTATTTGGCATCAGTTTTACTCTTGAAAACATGTAAATCACACTGCTGCCCATATGGATAACCAAACATCATTACCAATAGATATATTCTTGATTTTCACAGCTAGCTATGAAAGAGTTTCTGAGAAAGGTGGACATATTCCATACAAGTACTTGTATAGCCTGGGGAAATGATGTATTGTACAGGAAACCTCCCTCCACCATGCTAACTTGGAGTCTTTCTTTGAGATAATTTGTTCTGGGAGGAACCTATTTCTTAAACATTACCCTGCCATTAATCAATTTTTTTAAATTACTTATATAGAAGAATTTAGAGGGCATTACGTTGGAAACCAACAGAATGGATACACTGATCTCTCTACTTTTAGGATTTTACAGAGTTATTTACTAAAGTGAGAATTCCAAGTGAATTCATAGTGAATTTCAACTTTAAAATAAAATAAAAAAGTCAACTATGTTTTCAGTTCAGCGACTCTGGCTTTAAATTTAAAGTTCACTTTGAATTCACCTGGAATTCTCCCTTTCGTAAGTAACCTTGTTAGTCTTAGAATATTTCTGTATAAATAAATCCTGTTTCATTAAGGAAGGCTAAACACCTTACTGTTAGTAAGACAGTTAATCAAGCTTGGTAAAACTAGTGTTTTCATATCAGACACTTGGTGTTTTTCAACACAAGGCTAAGATAATTAAGGTAGATGTAAATTTATTAAAAGGTTCAGCTTGAGCGCACAATACAATTATATATGAAAATAATTTCAAGCTTGCCGGAGACTGAGATACTGTTTGTAACGAACAAGGGTAATGTGTTGTTCTTTGCAGAAAGGAAAATACATGTGTCCTATGGGAGTGTTGTCTTTGGATAGCTTGATGATTGAAAACACAGTGGGGGCAAGGCTGTTTTATAAATATATCCAAGTATTTGAAAGTTCAGATAGCACTGTGCATGCTAAACTCCTATATCGGTGATACAATGAAAGGTGTGACATGGAAATGATACATACTGTGTATGTACACAGTGATTTGATGAATAACCAAAGTAAGAATGCTAAGTAAACTCATACAAATATGTATAACAAAACAATTACATATGGTTGTAGAATTGTTCTCTATGATCTTATCTGGATTTGACCCCAATCTTTTGGCAAGGTCATGGTTATGGTGTGTGGACTGCTTTTTGGTCTTGTTGCGAACTCGCTCATACTGAGTGTCCTTTGCCACCAAACACTCCAAAGATCTGATTATCAGTTGCCCGTTGTCAAAGTCTATACTAGAAGACTAGAAAGAGAGAATTTATTTAAGAAATCATGTAGAATCTAAAGGAATTTGATAGAGATGGACAATTGAGAGCCAATACAACATCAAAATCAAAAATAACTATTGAAACAAACACTTGGTGCTGGGACATATTGAAGCAGGACTTCTGGATATTGAAGCGACAAACTATCTAAAATGGAGCAGTCTCTCTGGATGAATGGAAGACAGGGCAGGAAGATAAAGTAGAAATGCCAAAGGCAGGTAGAGGGAAGCAAGACAAAAGGGATTAGTTACAGCAGATGGTTTATATAAACAAAGTACTACAACAGCCAGGGGGAAGCAGGAACAGAAATACAAGCAACATAGTATAAGGAAACATTCTAGCTATAAGAATAACACAAATCACTATCAATAATAAGATATATTACAGTGATAGTCTAGCACACAATGCAAATCATAATGTATGCAGCATCAGGCCGGAGAGATAGTCCAAGCAGAGAACGGATGTTCATTTTACACCATGCCATTAGTGATCCGTAGAAAAGTTTTAATGTTTGTCGTTTTAGGAGCTGTTAAAGACAGAAACATGGGTTTCAATGCCAGTATCATAGGCACAGGCTACATATGTATAGAAAAGCAAACGTTTACCACCATAAAGAACTGAAGACTAGGTGGGCAAAATGGTGGAATCAAAATCTAAAATGGTCAGACTTTCTAGCTTTTAACTCATCTCCAAAAGATCTGTTTGACCAGGGTCCAGGGACTACTATAGGTGGGGGGAGGAAACCCAGCTCAGAATACAGAATTAGATAAATCAATTAGAATTTAAACCAATAAAATGAAATTATGACTGTCGTGATAATGATTGCTTTATCATGGTACTGAAAGTATCAAATTAAAATTGCATTCGCAAACTTCTTTTTTTCTGCTTTATTCACAGTATTATTTTGTCCTATATAATATCTAGGATCATGGGAAAACAGATCTTCTGGGAGAGTTTAAGCTAAATAAGGAGCTCCTCTTGCTACACTTAGAACACAACGTATGTTCATTATACTGTATCTGTGTAATTTGGAGAACACATCCATTGATAGGTTGTACCATGCAATAGTCAGGTTTTTTGTTGTTGAATGATTCTTAATAATGTCTCACTTGTCTAAGAATCTGTATGCTGAAGGTCACTTTTTAGAATATGGAAATTATTATGACAGTCTGCAGTGGATCCACTGGCAAGCAGTGTATTCTAAGTTTATTGATTTTTTGGATGTCTGATATTTATTGGCCTCCTTTTACTTGTAGTAGGGGAATCCAAAGCAGGATGAAGGGTGAGCAGTATTTTGTCTGCAATGATAAACAGGAGCTCTAAGGAAAGATAATCACTAGAGATCAAATCCAGTAAATGAATGAAATGTTTACACATACAATGACAATGTAGCTGTTGTATACATGGATTGTATAAATGTGTTATGTTGTTTATACATGTTGGCCTTCCTAACAGCTCTTCCGTCAGGCTGCATACTAGTACAAACAGGATATTTCAGCTTCTAATTTGGGGTCAGGGATCCACAAACTCTGGGATCAGTGTAAGCAGCCCTAGAGAGCATTTAGTTGCAAAATGCTTCCCTCACTTCTTGAGTTATCAGAACATTCCCTTGAACAGAAACAAGCTGTGGCCAACTCTATGTATTGACTTTCTGGACATGTGCAATGCCTGTGATCCATCTCTGTTCCATGTATTTCCAACAATAAGAGGATAAGTAGAGCCTTTATTTCTCATGATACTGACAAGGGAACAGAGAGATGCTCTCTCTCAGTCTTCATAGTTGAGGGAAACTTTCTTCTCTTGTATCATTCAACTTTTATAATGAATAAAGCTTCTTATATGCAACTAAAATAAATGATTATAAAATATAAAGTCACAGAGTGATTTTGTTCCCTCTGGATGAGAATGTGGAAAATACTTAGAGTGGCACTGTCACTATCTGGGGACTTGCAAAGACCCACAATGGTGACATCGCCGCAGTGAGATTTAAAGACGAGATTTAATAACCTGAACCGGTCTTTCATGGACGTGGCCATTTTGATCCGGCGGGTTCTCTTTGGAGCCGGTGTCACTACTGTACTCTCGCGCACAAGATTACAAAATTGAAGTCTATAGAAAATTCCCCATGACAGCGGGATCCTCTATATACACAGCCAGTTCCCTGCAGTTGTCACTGGTGATGGCTGTTGGGATTGACACTTAGACTTCTCCCTGAGTCCAAGAAAGCCAGGTGGAGGAGACATACAGAGACAAAACAGTCCCTACTTTATCTTGGTATATCTCTTAACTGTGTTAGAATTTAAGTTAAATTCCAACACAGTCAAAATGAGTATTTCATGAAGATTATCTTTATGAAATATTTGTTTTTCGGGTGGGGAAGGGGGCAGTGCTGCTTTAACATGTCTAATCATAAACAGTCGAAGTGCATTGAAGTCAAGATCAGACCCGTCACATCAGAGGCATGCATATTTCTATTAACTACCTATCCCTCACGGTCTAAAAGAGAAACACTAATAGCCAGACTCCATAGTTAAATTTGTAGTAAGTAGAATAGACACGTAAAGATCATAGAATGCACAGAGATTTTTACAGCTTCCTAATGTAATTATCTAAGTTTGTCAGTTTCTAATACCCTTTGAATCCAGTATCAAGCACTGCATAAACTATTGTTACTCTGAATGTTTTTGTAAAGTGATCAAAATATACTATCAGAAGTTGTTCATTTAAACTCCTGTAACCAACAGCAGAGGAGTATAATTGTATTCAAAATGAAGGAGCAAAGTCCTAAATGCAGAGCAATCACAAGGAAGATTAATTTGATTTCCATAGTGACTGCCCCACTTTTGCTATTTTTAAAACTTAGAAACCAGCTCACAATTTCTTTAAAAAAAAAAAAAAAAAGCATAATGTATTTTATTCCTCTTTTAGAATGGCCTGATAGTCTTTCTAGGTTTTTTACCCCAACTACATCCACTGGTAATCCATTCCATGCGTGCACTACGTTACCAGCGCTTATTATAGCAGTATTATTTTTATCATTTCCAAGTTGTTTTATACTACTCTGTTCTCATGGGAACAAATGCATTTTGTATGAAATCAAAATTTGTTTCCTCTGTATTCATCTATCTGTTAAAAACAGCCTGGCAGCTTATTAATTGTGAACACAAGGCACAGCATGTAGTCACAATGGAAGGGTTGAAATTGCCATTTTCTTTATTTTTTTGTCACTAAATTGCAGATATTTTCAGAAAGGGTGAGTCAGATCATACAGCGAGAAGTGCTTTTGCTCACAGCATTTTGGATGAACTTACAAAGAAAACATCGTATCTGGTTCAGACTTGCTTACATGAGAGACATGCTGCTACTTTTTTTGTCCAAGTGCAGACTTGGCAAAGCCTTTAAACGAGGAGGTTTTCAAAGATATTATTACATGGTCACCTAATCTGGGATGGGAAGAAACATAACAACAACACTCAGACTTCCCTTCACTGCTACTATAATAATAGTGTTATTGCCAAGCCAAATACATAGACCGTTTATCCATAAAAGTTTCAGATCCATTGCAGTCTACTAGCCAGAACTACAAATCTATTTTCATGTTATCATTTTAATCCATTTGATCCATATAGATTGTTACAAAGCATTTCTCAGAATCATGGTCTGAATTCCATAAGTGGCATAAGTAAGCAGCATTATATGGTTGGGCATCTCATTTACATACTGATGACAACGTCCTCAAGACTTAAAGGAACAATATAGGCACCCCACTCAGACCTCTTCACCTCAATTAAATGGTCTGGGTGCCATCATCCCCACCACCATTTTAACCCTGCAACTGAAAATGTTGCTATTCTGCATGAATGGCAATGTTTCCATTTAAGGGTTTAAATGCCTCTAGTGGCTGCAGCATTGCCCACTAGTCTCTCAAAGCATGGGATTGGCTGAGATCATTGACTGTAGTGGTTATGATGTCAGAAGTACTCTGGCCCTGTTCCCTGGTAATGGGGCAAACCATTTAGCTACAGTTTGCCCTCTTACCATGATCTCCGCCTGGCTCTGAGGCTCCTATCCTGCCAGGAGACAATGCAATTGCTGTCAGTGGTCCACGCTCAGCAAATTAATGGCATGCCATGTATGAAAACTTGCACAGAATTAGCATTGGCATTAGCATTAGCAAATTAGAATAACCATGTAAATCTGTTTTTATAAGCTTTGCAATTATAGCCCTTTCAATTCTCCACAATTCCCCCTTCAGTAAACACACTCTCAATTATCCAAGTTGTTTTATTAGCCATATATGTTTGTGTTTAATGTATTTTAATACATGTATCACTCTCTTTGGAGCAGTAATTATATGTAAAGTAAACAATCATTTTTTTTTTTAAATGAGCACATATAAAAGATGTATTAAAATGGAAAAGACAATACCACTAAATTAATTTTACTTTCCAAAATCCATACTTAAAAAACAAGGTCAGAAATACACTGACTATTTGATATTGAATAAGGTTCTGGGCACAAATTTCAATTTTATGGAGACCTCTTAATAATTTATTGATATGAAAATTTCTACTTTAAATTTACAGCTACAATGCAGGCCACACGAGCACTGATGATCTGTGGGATTCTTGCTGGTTTCTTCGCAATTTGCATTGGTGCAGTCGGGATGAAATGCTTGACGTGTATGCAAGATGATGAAGTGAAAAAGGCTAAGGTTGGCATAGTAGGAGGCATTCTCTTCATTATTGCCGGTAAGTGTAAGATTTATTCATTTTTCTTAAATGTTGTTTTTTAATATCTCAAGTTTACAATGTATCAGCTCATCCATATGGACTTTTGGGCATGTTATAATGTAGCTTTAAAAAATAAGTCAGATAGGGACTAAATACAAAAGTTCAATAATTCATTTAAGATTTTTAAAGCAACCCAAGTACTTTTAATTACATGAGGATAATATGAAATCTTGATGTAGAATGATGTAGAATGATGTAAAGAATGAGTCATGTATAATGATCTAAAGAACCATGCCAGGAAACTTGTGGCTGCTTAAAGGAAAACTATAGGGTCAGTAGTACAAATGTGTATTCCTGACACGATAATGTTAAAAACACTATTTAGGTGGCGGGCCCCTCCTGCCCCATATAATAAGTTAAAAACTCACCTTTAGTACAGCGTCGTGCAAGTCTGCCGGCGCTGGCCTAGCCCCCAATCTGACTTATTGGCTGAGATCATCAGAACTGACAATCTCAGCCAATCCAATACTTTCCCATAGGAAAGCATTAGATTGGCTGAGACAGTCAATTTTGATGATCTCAGCCAAGGAGGCAGGGCATAGGCCGAGCCATGTACCACACTGGCCAATCAGCATCTCTTCATAGAGATGCATTGATTTAATGCATCTCTATGGGGAAAGTTCAGCCGTGAAGATGCCATACATTAGTGCTGCATGTTGTGTATTCCATTTTGAGACATAATTCTTAAATATACATTATAAGCAATATATGTAATTCAATCATGCTTTCTCAGTGGTCTTTAAACATATATTTATCCAATTTATCTCCATTGAATTACTTACCTCTGGCTTTTGAAAGGTTAATCATCTTTTAATGTCCTTGATTTGAAAATAACTTGCTTGAACACAGGAAATGAGTTAATCAATCAGTCATGTTATTTAGCACTACTGTTATCAGACCAGATTATCTTTAAAATGTGACCTGATTAGGCTAGCATGACAATTTTAGTTCTTACCTTCTGCAATCTGCAAGTCTAATTTGCTGAATGGTTATTGTCTCATAACTGCAGTCTTTGCAGCATGATGATAATTTGTGTACCTTTGTTTTGAAGATTGATAGCACCTGTGCCATTGAGCTTGCAATTTAGTTGAATGGGTAAACCAAAACAACAACAGAACAGTCTAAAGCAATGTTGCCTATATGTTTCAATAGTATGATCATACACAATATATATGTTATGCTCACTTTGCCATAGCCACTGTGGACGTTTTATGGACGATGTGACTAAAACGATGCATCTGGATTATCTGTCTGCTTGACAAACCTGGTTTACAGGTCGAACTATTTTACTATCGGTTACTAATGTAGGTAAAGGAAGCATATATTGTTTGCACATCAGCAATGAATGCTGTTAGTTGATGTATCACATCCTATGTCTCATATTAAATAAATTCGAAAATAATACATCATAAAATAAGTTGGGAATATTGCAACCTATATTTCTTGTTACACCAGCCTTATAATATATATGTGCATTGTAATATGCTTTCGTTTAATTTTTAGGTCTCTGTGTATTGATCGCAACATCCTGGTACGGAAACAAAATAGCAAAGGATTTCTACAATGCATTCACACCCAGCAATTCCAAGTAAGTGTCACTTTTAGAATGAAAGTTGTTACTTTTTTTCACTGTACAAAAATGAAGATGAATGCTTTTATTTTACATTTATTGCATTTTAAAATTCCATCGTCATGGTGATAGAGATGGAAATCTAAGTTAGGGAGAAGGCAATTGAAATCCTACTTCAAACAAATGTTGGAGGAAGCACGGAATAATTTACTTAAAATAGATGGTGGTAGATTAGATAAAATATCATGTCCATGTTTGTAGTAAGGTCCTCAGATTGCATGTTGCATTTTCAATATTAACTCTCTAGGGTGTTGTCAGGTTTAGCAGAGTTTGACAATAATTTGGTGCTACTGAATTAACATGGTGTTTCTATAGAGTTCAAAACAGAAGTGACAATTAAAGTCAACTGGAATTGCTATTTGGAACTCTGAGCAGTGTTTGTGCAACTAAGTAAACGGCTGACTTGTAGAATCATATAATATAATTAAAGGGACAAAATAACTTTAGCCTAGTCACACATACCTGTATGTGACTTATACATCCTCTCTAAATACTTCCTGTATGGAGTTCTCTAATGTTTACACTTCCTTTATTCCAAATTCTATTTAATTTAGAATTTCTTATCTCCCGCATTGTTAATAACTTGCTAGACCCTGCAAGAGCCCTCTGTACACAATTAAGGCTCAATTTACAGAGCAGGAGATAAAAACTTTTAAAATGAAACCATGTTTTCATGAGGTCTGTGTGTGTGACAACCAGGGGAGGTCTTGCTAGGGCTGCATACACAGAAACAAAAGTGATTTAACAGAGAATTGAGCAGTGAGACTTTAGTTTCATAGTCTATACACAAAAACTGCTTAATTAAGCTAAAGTTGTTTTGGTGACTACAGTGTCCCTTTAACCCCTTAAGGACACATGACATGTGTGACATGTCATGATTCCCTTTTATTACAGAAGTTTGGTGCTTAAGGGGTTAATGAGTATTTAAAAGCAATACATCCCTTCTAATCACAAAGCTGAATACATTCAATGTTATAGGTAAGGATCCAATATTGAAAGGTGTTGTGGGATGTGTTTTGAGACCTTCTATATAATAGACAGGTGGACGGGTGGGAAGACAGAAACGCAGGTCAGACTGAGAGAAAAACATACATTTCTAAATAAAATATGTGGACATAAATGGGAAATGGAGATCCCAAAAATATTTATGGATGGATGGATTGTTGGACAGATCAATGAATGAATGCGGGTATGGGTTTTACAAAAAATGCAAAGCTGCAATTGTAAATTGTTGGATATCTGAAAACAAAACAGAATTCTTTTTAAACATACTTGTAATTATACATTTTACTGCTCAAGGTTTACAGAGATCAGAGCTTTGATATTTTTTTATAGAAATCACAAAATAATTGACGCTATCCAGCAATTAGTTCTGAGCACCTTCATAGTAACTGCTACAGGACTGCCCCCTGCCTTCCATTTTTTTCTCCACTCAGTGTTAGTCTTATACTAAATTGCACTTCTGGTAATTAGAATATTTATTTAAAGTCCTATTTCTCATGATAAAAGATTTGTTTATTTTAGGGAAATGTGCTAAATAAGACCACCATGAAAACTAATAGATTGTTTCAAAATGTTTAGCACATTGTCTCAGAGTACTTATTATGCCATGATAAATATTGCCCATAATGTTACTTAGCTCTCGTCCATCAAATTTGGTCTATTATTTTTACATTTCTTTCCACAATATACTACTTTTTCCTAACCATTTTTTTCTGTTCTCTAGGTATGAGTTTGGCCCAGCTCTTTTTATTGGGTGGGCTGGCGCAGCAATGGCTATTTTGGGGGGTGCCATGTTGTGCTGCTCCTGCCCTAGAAATGAGACATCCTACCCACCACCCAGAAGCTATAACAAGAATGCACCTTCTACAGGGAAAGACTACGTGTAAAAGAATACCAGAGGAAAACAGAGCAAAATCACTGCCATTCAGACTCTTTACTATTTGCCACAGTAAAAATGGTCCTCAGATCCATTTATTTCTTTCTACGGCAAAACAGGGATCCGGTAAAACCTTTTGATGTGGCAGTAGTACTAATTCCCTCTAGCAAGAAACCAAACCAATGGCAGTGATATGTTTAAACAGGTGGCCATGGTGAAAGGTCTAAAATATGCTGTTAAATGAAACAATTGTAAACAGGAAATAAATTTGTATCTGTTCCTATGCGTAAGTGTTTGCATACATATAGAAAGTTAAAACTCAATACACACTGTGAACAAGGTCAAGAATCAGAGAAAAACCATGCATGTTTCCAAATATATATAAGTATACATATATATATAAACAGTAAATTCTTGAAAGGAAGAACCCCTCTTAACAAAGGATAAAGAGTACAGCGTTAAATAAACAGAATTCAGAGCAATGGTTTACAAGAAGGAAAAACTGGATGCCTAACATTTGAGACATTCATTTGTTTTGTAACCTAAATGCCAAAGTAACAGGCTGTGTACTTGTTAAAACTGAAGCGCTTTAGTTGAAATATTGATGTCACATTATAAAGTATTTAGTGCGTAATTGTTAAAAAGTGTGTGAATGTTAACCGACTGTTAACTAAGCTGGCAAACACTTTAAATGGTCAGCAGGTCCGAGCCGCCGCAACATATTATAAATCTCTTCCACTGTTCTGATTTTTATACTAAAACAGGAAATCCTTTAAAAACTGAACCGCTGTTCTGTTGTATGGGAGTGATAAAATGAAACAAAGAATATTTTCACAGAGTTAAATTATTAACATAGAGATGAGGCAGAATGTATTGGTCATTTCAATATTAAATGAAAGCTAGAATTGTTTCCTTGTATAGCCAGACATTCGATAATTACAGATCTTCAAAAGCCATTGATTTAACATGTTGGCTAAAGAGTGAAGCACAGCTTACTTTACATTGATGGAGCATTTATTGACCGTAGATGTTTGCTTGTAGCATAGGGTATCAAGTAAAAACCATTATTCCCTAATCCAGTGGTTCCAAATCCTGTCCTCAAGGCACCTTCACAGGTGCGACTTTTTAGCATTTTATTCTTATAAGAATGCTGACAAAAACCCAGACTGCTAATTTCCCTTGAAGATTAAGAATAAAAGACTAAATAGTAGCTGGTGACAAGTCACAATAAGCTTTAAAAAATGAGCTAAAGTAACCAAGTTAGAAAAAAAAAATCCAACTCAATTGCATTTTAGATTTTTCTAGATTTTGCACACTTAACTTTTTATGTTTGTTTTTTATGCAAAATCTCTCTCTGTTTAGTGAATAACCCCAAGTATTTTATAGGTTGAAATGTTATTACAGGCACACATGGCTGTAAATAATAAGAGGGTTTACAAAAACAAAATAGCAATGATACAGTATAACAAGTACATTATGTTCCCTTTTCAATTTATCTTTCTGCTCATTACAATGTAAATTGATATATTTTGCCGTTCTGTATATGCATTCATTTTACCTGATGAATATGGTGTTTATCCCAATATATCACTGTGCAATGAACCAGTTTGTATGGATTTTTTTTTTTACAGATACTTTTCAATAAATACAGTTTTTACAAAAATCATCTGTACGCGTGTAAGCATCAATCAATATATTTGACATCATTATATTCTGCTTGACATAGTTAAACCTCGCATAACAGTATACATCCTAGTAATGCAGTTTTACATTTTACAAGGCTACTTCAAATCACCTAACTCAGCAAACAAATATAGGGATTTGGCTTCACCATAAGCCCACCAGTACCCCACAGTACCAAAATATCAGTTGGTCCTGCACTAGTTTTAATGTGGGAGACAAATGAAATAGTGCTAGTGTGCTAAATGAACTAAAGTGTATTTAATGAAGCTGTTATAAGGCCTTTGTGAAATAAATGTGCGGCATAGCAGGCCCATTGGATTCACACAATCTGTGGCCCAGAATACTTAACTACCGTGGCGATCCCGATTGTGGGGACTAACTGACAACCCAGGCAATCCGGGCCATGTGATTGTGAAGACTTCATGGTCATATGACCAGATCAGGAGTTAACATGACCGCCTGCAGGGGGACTGCCTGGGTTGTCAGGCAGATCCCCCAACACTGAAATATTAAAAAATATATATTTATATACACTGAAATATCTGGATTTAAGATAACTATATATCATGTAGTGACAGTGTGGGGGATGGTGACAGTGTGGGAGGTAGTGACAGTGTGGGAGGTGGTTACAATGTGGGGGGATGGTGATAGTGTAGGGGAGTGGTGATAGTGTGGGGGGATGTTGACAGTGTGGGAGGTGATGACAGTGTTTCGGATGGTGACATTGTGGAAGGTGGTAACAGTGTGGGGGGAAAGGTGACCGTGTGGGAGGTGGTGACAGTGTTTTAGATGTGACATCGTGGAAGGTGGTGATAGTGTGGGGGAAAGGTGACAGTGTAGAAGAAAAGTGACAGTGTGGGGGGTGGTGACAGCGTGGGGCGGTGGTAGTGTTTAGGGATGGTCACATTGGGGGGGTGATAGTGTGCAGGAACGGTGGCAGTGGGGGGTGGTAGTGTGTGGGGATTGTGACAGTGGGGGGTGGTAGTGTGTGATGATGGTTTCAGTGGGGGGGTGGTAGTTTATAGGGATGTTACAGTGGGGCGGGTGGTAGTGTGTGGGAAGGCTGTTTAGTGACCAGCCTACTGATACCTTGTTTGTGTAATTCATTCCCTGGTGGTCTAGTGGTCTCCTCCTCCTCCTTGGTGGTCCAGTGGACTAGGTATTTAGTCTGCCAGTGCCTCTGGTCTGCAGCTCTTCCAGGTGCAGAACTGCAGGCCGTTTAGTAGAGTTCTCGTGAGCTCCGGTCAGAGCATTGCCGTGGTAACCGCGACAATGCTGTGATTGGCCGGAGATCGCAAGATATCTACTCCATGGTCTGCAGTTCTGCACCCGGTGGAGCTTCAGACCGGAGGCATTAGCAGAATCAGTGGTGTATCCACTCAGGCACCCACCACCCCTCCTTCTAAATACACATACATGCTCATTGACATACACATATACACTCGGTGTCAGACACACACATTCACTGACAGACACACATCCACTCACTAACCGAGGACCCACACACTCTCACTAACAGACACTCACTGACACACACACACTCTCTCACTAACAGACACACACACACTCTCACTAAGACACACACTCACTGACACACTCACTAACAGACATGCATACACTCTCACTAACAGACACACACTAACACACTCACTAACAGACACACAGACTAACACACTCACTAACAGCACACACATACTAACACATTCACTGACACTCACTAACAGACACACACATACTAACACACTCCCTAACAGACACACTAACAGACACACACTCACTAACAGACACACACACACACACACTCACTAACAGACACACACACACACACACACTCACTAACAGACACACACACACACACACACTCACTAACAGACACACACACACACACTCACTAACAGACACACACATACTAATACATTCACTAACAGACACACACTAACAGACACACACATAGTAACACACTCGCTAACAGACACACACAATAACAGACACATACACACTCACTAACAGATAGACACATAGTAACACACAAACACACTCACATTTAAAAAAAAAAAAAATTAAAATTCAACCCCCCCAGCCTCCCTACTTTTGGGAGTGCTGGGGTGGATTCTCGCTTTCCCTGGGGTCAAGCGGGGCTGCCCCGGCTGGTCACTGCAGTCGCCGAGGGAGCACTGATCCTCCTGTTCAGCTCCCTTGTGCGCCGCGTAGTGATGCCGGGGCCAGAGTGGTGTCATATCAGTGCAGGAGGATCAGTGCTCCCTCACCGCCGGCCTGGAAAGTGCCGCTGCTGCCAGCCTCGGGGGGGCCCTAAGGTGGCCAGCTGGCCCGCCCCTGGGCCCCCCAGGACAAGAGACTGGCAAGGCATTTGCCAGGGCGATTGGGGACGGCTTTTTTTGCCGCCCCCAGAAAGTGCCGCCCCAAGGCAAGGCCTTGTCAGCCTTGCGGTAAATACACCCCTGGGCATAATACATGGAGGGGCCTCGCACCCGGCGGCTGCATCTTGGTGTCAGCCCTTAGTCATGGGCTGAGGAGCCAACACATCAGTCAGCCCTGTCAGTGACCGGTTCGGTGAACTTGTTACATTTTAGTAACAGGTTCCCGCAAACCGGTGCGAACCAGCTGAATCCTATTACTGGGGCACTGTTGCGCATGTGAGACATCACTGAACACACATATGAGGTTTTTTAAACAGTAACATGTATATTGACAATGTTATCATCAAAAAAATAGCAATTTTTGTGTGAAAAATGCAAAAAACAAATAAGAACACTAACTACGGCCAGGGTTTGTGACTAAATGGCTACTAACAAATACTGGACATACTCCATTTTAAATTCTCTGCTTTTTTTTATTTTTGCAAATGGTATGCCATGATGGGGGTAATTTCCATTCCTGGGTTGTAATATGGTCTAAAAGGCAACTTACATCCTGCAAACCAATCTGGCAAATTCCAATGTGTAGAAATCTTTGACCCTGTAACATTCCAAAAAAACATGAAACCTACATGGGGGACACCGTTGTACTTGTGGGACTTCGCTGAACTCAAATATGTGTATTTTATTGCAGTAAAAGCTGATTATCACAAAATTCAATGTTAAAATTCTATGCAGAACTTGGAAAATAAACTTTCTTAATTTCTCACAAAGAAATTATAGATAAGAGGAGAAATTAGACGGAAGAATATTTTTTATTTTCAATGCTTTTCCTTGCCTGAAATGGATTATGAGGAAGCAAAGAGAATGGAAGGAAAGGGAAAGTTGTACAGGTTATATGTGATCTTCAATATTTTATTCATTAGTGTAAATTCCAGAGACGTTAATGGAACTGCTGGTTAGACCCCACCGCACCCTGCCAAACACATCCAAACGGAAATGACTGCAATTGAAGCAGCCAGCACCCTGCATAATCCCATTTAAATCGAATTACTATTATATTAAATCCTACTAATCCGAAATTTAACCCCTTTTGAACTCTAAACACCATAACCGAAAAATATCCACTTTACCCAAACCCTAAATTTAACCCCTGAAATGTAACCTCTCTCTAGACCTAACACATTTAATTCTAAACTAATTTTATACAAACTCCTGATAATCCTAAATTGAATCCATACTAATTGCATATATTTTGCCCTAATCATAACCCCTTGCTGACCCTTAAAGTTACCATTTATAAAAGTCGGGGTTTCAGGTATAATATTTATTTTTGTTTGGATGCCTTACAAATTGTGTCAAATTGTGCACTGCATTGCAAGGGTCATGAAGGAGGAGGAAGATAAAATGTACCTAGCATTCTGATCAGCCCCAACATTAAAACTGACAGGTGATAAGTAACATTGATTATCTTGTTACAATGGCACCAGTCAAGAAGTGGGATATATTGACTAGAAAGTAAATAGTCAGTACTTGAATTTCATGTGTTGGTAGTAGGAAAAATGGGCAATCTAAGTGACTTTGAAAAGGGCCAAATAGCAATAGCTATACGACTGGATCAGAGCATTTCCAAAATGGCAAGTCTTGTAGGATATTCCTGGTATGCAGTGGTTAGTACCTACTAAAAGTTGTGCATGGAAGGACAACCAGTGAACCAGCATCAGGGCCATGGGCACTCAAGGCTCATTGATGCACATGAGGAGAGAAGGCTAGTAAGTCTGGTCCGATCACACAAAAGAGCTCCTGTAGCTCAAATTGCTGAAAAAAACATAATGCTAGCCATGATAAAAAGGTGTCAGCGCACACAGTGCATATCAGATGCTGTTTATGGGGCTGCGTAGCTGCAGACCAGTCAGAGTGCCCATGATAACCTCTGTCCACCACTGAAAGTACCTTCAATTGGGACTTACGAGTCCAAACTAGACCATGGAGAAATGGGAGAAGGACGCCTGATCTGGTGAATTACGTCTTCCAGTAGATCAGGTTGATGGCCGGATGTGCTGGGGAAGAAATGGCAGCAGCATGCACTATGGGAAAAAACAGGCCTGCAGAGGCTGTGTTGTTCTCTGGGCAATATTATGTTAGGAAACATTGGGTCCCAGCATTTATGTTGATGTTACTTTGACATATACCACTTACCTAGAGATTGTTGAAAAACATGTACACCTCTTTATGGCAATGGTGTTCCCTGATGTCAGTGGTCCCTTTCAGCAGGATAATACACCCCGCCACACTGCTTAACGTTTTGAGGAACAAAGAGTCTAAGGTGTTGCCTTGGCCTCCTAATTCCACAGATATCAATCCAATTGAGTATCTGTGGAATGTGCTTGAACAACAAATCTGATGCATGAAGGCACAAAATTGGAACTTGAATGACTTAAAGGATTTGCTACTAATGTCATGTGCCAGTTACCACAGGACACGTTCAAAGGTCTTGTGGCGTCTGTTCCTCAATGCATCCAATCTGTTTTGTCACGATATAAGGCAGTGTGGCTAATCAACGTATGTTAATGTCTGCCAATCCATCCATCTATTCTTCCCCAGATGTTT